TACTAAGGACACAGCAGGTGTGTAATCACTGATCCATCATTAAAATATTTAGTTTTATGTCATTAAGATTAGCTATATTCAGCACATATCACTCTCTTAATGTTATTGTGCTTCCGAATACCAGACCCCAATGATTTCCCAGTCATACTGAGGTAAATGCAATTAGGTATAGACAAGTCAAGGAAAAACTAAAAGAATAGGCATGTTACAGCAGAAAGAACCCTGAATGATATAGCAAATATGTAAAAGCCCTCAGCAATGCTAGGAAGAAACACATATTTGATGACTAGGAAACAAGATTCATGAACACATCAGCCACTATACTGTGTTTATTGATATTTAAGCATTAAGTTGTAGTCATTATCTGGCATAAACTCTCACCTCTTAACTTCATTAAATATGACCCCAAGTAGATAGGTATAATCTTTAAAAGGTAATTATAAGAGATGCAGGTTGAGTGTCTATGCCCATGCTCAGCTTTAAAATTTTTTAAAGATTTTATTTATTTATTTTGGAGAGAGATAGTGTGAGTGAGGGAGGAAAAGAGGGATAGAGAGAATCCCAAGCAGACTCTGAAGTGAGTGTGGATCCCAACTCGGGGCTTGATTCCGGGACCCTGAGATCATGACCTAAGCCAAAATGGAAAATCAGTTGCTGAACCAAATGAGCCACCTAGGAGCCCATCAGTTTTAGAATTTGACTCCAATTTTCAGCTAAGACTTATGAATCTATCCTAGTTGTGTGAGTCAGAATGATACCATGAAATATTAGTAGATGAGTTTCTCCTGCATTCTTTATTTTTTTTATTTATTGTGATAAAAAACTCTCAACATAATATCTACACCCTTAACAATCCCCTTGACTATCAGTACAATGTTGTGTAGCAGATCCGTAGAGTTTATGCATCTTCCTTAACTGAAACTTTATGCATGTGGATTAGTAATTCCCCATTTCTCCCTTCCCCCATCCTCTGACAACCAACATTCCATTCTTTGATGCTGCATATATGTGAAATAATGAAGTGTGTCTTTCTAAGACTAGCTTATTCCATTCATACTGTCACATATTCCAGAATTTTTTAAGGGTGAATAATACCCCCATTATATATTTACAATATATTTCCTTTAATCGTTCATTTGCTAAAGGACATTTAGGTTGTTTCCACAACTTGCCTATTGTGAATAGTGCTGCAATGAACATGGGAGTAATAATATTGCTCAAGATCCTGATTTCAAGTCTTTTGGATAAATATCCAGAAGTGGTATTACTGAATCATACAGTAGTTCTATTTTTAATTTTTGAGGAAATTCCATACTGCTTTGCATAGTGGCTGTACCAATTTACATTCCCACCAACAGTGCACAAGTGTTCCAACTTCTCCTCATGCTTGTCAATACTTGTCTTTCTGTTTTTATAATAACCATCCTGACAGGTGTGAGGTGATATCTCATTGTAGTTTTGATTTATATTTCCCTGATGGTTAATGATGTTGATAATTTTTCACATAATGTTGATCATTTGTACATATTCTTTGGGGAAATGTCTATTCAAATCCTTAGCCCATTTTTTAATGGAGTTACAATTTTGGTTTGGGGGTTTGTTTTGTTTGCTACTGAGTTATAGAAGTTCCTAATACATTTTGGATACTACTGCCTTATAGATATATAGTTTGCAAATATTCTCCCACTCCATAGGTTGGCTTTTCACTCTGTTAATTGTTTCTTTTGTTGTATGGAAGTTTTTTATTTTGATGTAGTCCTACTTGTTTGTTTTGGTTTTGTTGCCTGTGTATTTGGTGTCATTTCCAAGAAATTCTCAAGAAGCCTTTCCTATATATTTTCTTCTAGGAGTTTTGGAGCCCCAAACCTTACATACCTGCACTTTTCCCTTAATGATGACTTTCCCATTTAAACCACGAGACTGGAGCCCCCACTGTTCATAGAGGGTATGTCACAAAGGAACATAAAAGAACAGAGAACAAGGATGGCAAATTCTAGACTTTTATGCCTACCAGATATTAGATAGAAAATTCAAGGATGAATTCTTATAGATCCAAATTATAGAGGAAATTATCTTCTGTTTATCCACACTAAATAAAAATCCTATTAAAAAGATCCCAGAAGTTTGAGAGGATAATGATATAACAGTTCAATAGAAATGGTTAAGCACGAACGGGGAAGGCTTAGAAAGAAGAGCAATATGAGGACATACTGCTGCTAGATTCATAAGGAGATCTTGCTTCATGTTCCCACCTGTAGGTGAGCTCCAAGACATCAGAGAATTATTATTATTATCAGAGAATTAACCACCTCCAGAAGGGTTTTGAGAATAGAGGGTACTTAAGCCTGGTTTTCTATTTGGTTGCTCTGGAAGCTGGCAAGTACTACAGAGAGTGTTCATGTCACTCTGGCCTTGAAGTTGTACAGAGAAGCTGTATAAAGTGCTCTGGAACAATGAGCAGTTTGACAGGACACTGGAAGCAGCCAAATATTTTCCCAAGTCACCTAGACAGAGTCAAGTGGATATAGTTCTCTGTGAAAGTGGACCAATAGGCTAAGAAGACACCACAGAAATAGCAAGAGTTTGGATGCTGTATTAATTTCCTAAAGCTCATACAACAAAATCCTACAACCCTAGTGGCTTAAAACAACAGAAATTTATTCTTTCAAATTTCTGGAGACTTGAAATCCGAGATCAAGGTGTCACAGGGCTATCGTCTCTCGAAGCCTCTAGGGGAGAATCTGTACCATGCCTTTCTCTGAGCTTCTGGTGTCATCACCAATCCTTGGCATTCCTTGGCTTACAGCCGTGTAACTCCAATTTTCGCCTGCACTGACACAGCCTTCTCCTCTTCTGTCTCACATTGTCTGCCTATAACAAGACACAAGTCATACAGAATCAGGAGTCCACTCTACTTTTGTATGACACATCCTAATTAACTACAGCTGCACCTTATTTCTAAATTAGGTCACACTCTGAGGTACTAGGGGTTAGAACTCCAACATATCTTTTTGGAAAACATACTTTAACCTATAACAGATGCTCTAGAAGATCCCAGTGAAAAGGTATAGCCATGACCAAGGACCAGATAGGATTGCAGTGTCTTGTACCTACCCACTCAGAAAAAAATGAAGAAAAATGACCCAGAACTGATCTCTTTCTCAACTCCCATGCTCCTTAGTTTGATTCTTGAAAAAGGATAGAAGTTAGAGAGGAAAATCTTGAATTAAGTGAGTTTGAAACAGAGATGCCTGGGTTTATCTTAAATTGATTAAGACTTTTATTGTTGCCATCAGGCATTATGAAGATTCCAAAGACAAAACTAAATGGAGATAGCAAAAAATATATGTCATATTTCTGGCACACCTGAAAATAAACATCATAATAGTTATAAATCTATTTTGTAACAATCCTTGATGGAGGAGAGATGTTAGTCTTCTTTAACTAAATTTGATAAAGGCCACAAAGGGATTAAAACTAGCTAATGTAATGAAAACTACATACAAACAATTTACTTAAACTGCAAATAACAAGGTAGTTCTTATATTATTTTTTAATCTCATTTTACTAAAGATTTTATGGCCTTCAATGCCTAGTGTGATTATGAAAACTTCTCCTCTGGTCCTTTGCTTTCATTGTTCATTTTCTGCTTTGTCAGTTTTCTCAGGATCCCCCAAAATTCACTTTCTTTTATTAAAATATTTTTATTTATTTATTTATTTTGAGAGACAGGGTGCAAGTTGGGGGAGGGACAGAGAGAGGGGGAGAGAACCTCCACTAGACTCCCCGCTGAGCATGGAGCCCAATGTGGGGCTCCATTCTAGGACCTTGAGATCAAGACCTGAGCCAAAATCACAAGTCAGCTGCTTAATCAACCAAACTACCCAGGTGCCCTCCAAAGTTCACTTTCAACAATATACACCATCAAGAATCTACTTTGAAATGGTATCGTTTTATTTATTATTAAGGAGAAATACTCTTATCAAACTTTAGACACAAATGTCTGTCTTCCAATATGCTCTGAAAAATGCTTGCCGCAAGTCCTATGAACCCACCGGTGGCATAGCTCTGTGCTCAGCATGCACCGATCGATCCTTCTAGCTAAGCAACTCATAGTACAGGGGTAAGACATGACTTTATAAACCAATGGTCTTCCTTTGAATGTCAGCTCTGCCACTGACTAACTGTATGACCTTGGGCACCTTTCTCTGCCTCTGTTTCCTTACTCAAAAATCATGTCTAGCCAAGAAGGTTGTTATGTAAATTAATTAGATGTGTTAATATGTATAAAGTCAGAGTCAATTTAAATAATAAGCACTCAGTGCTTACTATTATTAAACATATAAAGAGTTCTTTCAAGTCAATAAGAAAAAGGCAATCTAAAATAGGTCAAAGAGGGATCCCTGGGTGGCGCAGCGGTTTGGCGCCTGCCTTTGGCCCAGGGCACGATCCTGGAGACCCGGGATCGAATCCCACGTCGGGCTCCCGGTGCATGGAGCCTGCTTCTCCCTCTGCCTGTGTCTCTGCCTCTCTCTCTTTCTCTCTCTGTGACTATCATAAATAATAAAAATTAAAAAAAATAAAAAAAATAAAATAAAATAAAATAGGTCAAAGATTAGAGTAGGCAAATCACAAAAGAGGAAATGTAAATGATCAGCAAACAATGAAAATATAGGACCTCAATTGGTAAAAAGGGAAATGCAAATTAAAGGAAGATACTATTTTGCCTATTGGATGACAATGTAAGAGTTTGATTACCAGCAGTGTTAATGAGAACCTAGAGAAACTGGCACTCTCATTTATTATTGGTAAAGGTCTGCATTTTGATAATATTTTGGAAATTAAGAGAGTACTTTTTCTAATATGCATACTCCCTGAATGAGTATTTTCATTTCTGGGATTCTAACCAACAGGGGGGAAAAAAGAAAGAAAAAGAAAAATCAGCAATGTCTAATACTCTCAAAGTCTTATCCAAAAATACATATAAAAGGTTGCTAATAGTGCTCACTTCAGCAGCACATATGCTAAAATTGGAACAATACAGAGAAGATTAGCATGGCCCCTGTGCAAGGGTGACACACAAATTCGTGAGCTTTTCCATATTTAAGTAAGTAAATCAATAGGGTGCCTGGGTAGCTCAGTCAGTTAGGCCTCTGCCTCTTGACTCAGTTCAAGATCTCCAGTCCTGGAATGGAGCCCTTCTTGCTCAAGGGGGAGTCAGCCTATCCATCTCCCTCTGTCCACCCGCACCCCACTCCCACCAACCCCCATTCATGCTCTGTCTGTCTCTCTCTCAAATAAATAAATAAAACCTTTTTTTAAAAAATAACCAAATAAACAAATAAAAGGTTGCTAATAACACTCTCCATAAACAACTAGAATGTTCATATATAGGAAAACAGTTGCCCAAATCATGATATACTAATATGAAACACTCATCAGCTATTAAAAGAACAAGATAGGGGCGCCAGAGTGGTTCAGTTGTTTAAGTGACCAACTCTTGATTTCAGCTCAGGACATGAACCTCAGGGTCCTGGGATTGAGCCCTGCATCGGGCTCTGTGCTCAGCAAGTAGTCTGCTTCTCTCCCTCTCCCTCTCCACTCCCTCTCCTCTCCCTCTCCCTCTCCCTCTTCCTCTGCCCCTCCCTCTGCTCTCTCTTGCTCTCTCTCGCTCTCTGTCTCATTCTCTCAAATAAATAAATCTTTTCTGAAAAGATTTAATTAGGGAGACCTGAGTGGCTCAGCAGTTGAGGGTCTTCCTTTGGCCCAGGGCGTGGTCCTGGAGTCTCAGAATTAAGCCTCACATTGGAATCCCTGCATGGAGCCTGCTTTTCTCTCTGCCTATGTCTCTGCCTCTGTCTCTGTGTCTCTCATGAATCAATTAAAATATTTTTAAATAAATAAATAAAGGTTTAATTAAAAAAGAAGAACGTAGATCATTACACACTAACTTAGGACTAGGCTCACAACATACTACTAAGCAAAAATAGCAGATGCGGTTAGGGCTCCGTGCTGCTTTATCTTCAGTATCTATTTGAACATATTTTTATTTCTGTTAATGAAGGAAATAGTAGTTTACAGTGGTTACATTAGAGATTGAGATTAGAAAGAGAGAGAGACTATCAATTTCACTTTCAACTACATATTGTTTGGAATGGTACAGTAAGCAGGTACTATTACTATATTTCAGGCAATTGAAAAAATTATAAAGAATGGAGGAAAAAGAAAAATGAATTTGTAGTAAAAGTCAAAAATTAGTGACTATCTAGATACCTTTCTCAGGGTACACTCAAAAACTGTTCATTAGTTGCATATGAAAATGTTTCCAAATATGTCTAATAAGGGGAAGTAATTCTTACACACAAATTATAGAGTTCTTTAAAAAGTTTAGTGCTGGGTTAAAACCCTTTATGCTCACTATACCTATCAGCAAAGGGCTACATATCACCATGGTACAATGGAAATGGAAAACATACGCAGCCAAAAATTGGAAATGTAGTCAGGTTTTCTCTCCCTAAGAGGAAAAAGAAAAATTTAATTTTCTGAACATTTATAACAGGCCTTGGGGTAAATTCTAAAATGCAGCCTAAAGAAGAAGAAGAAACATATCATAGTGGGTAGAGGCACAGCGCACAGCAGTATCTCTCTGCAGGATGAGAGGTATGGGGGAAAAGGATGCCTCAAGAATAAAAGAGCTAGGATCGGATCAGAATCTAAGAAGCAGAAAACAGAAGCTATCCAAAAGCAAAGTCAATATTTCTTTTCTCATTAATTCTAAAAAGTAAAGTTTTTCACATTTTAATATCTCTAAAAATTGGATGAATCCTACATTCAGTGGCATGTTGCAGTCACTGCTGGCCAGATGATAGTTTTAATGTGCTTGTCACATCTTGATTATAAATATTCACATGGCCATCATTTCCATTGACTTTTGAGTATTTTGGGTGTTGAGATTAATTGCCATTTAAAATATCTTCTATAGGATTACACTATGATTTGCATTGAAGGAGAAATCATTACATATGCAGAAATATACAGAAATAAAGCAGTGGGGAATAAATTTGATTTAGTGAAGCAAATATTCATCATATCAGGAATGACTAGAGCCCCATATTTTCCTACAAAACAATAACCATGTGTTTTACAAAACTTAAGAAGAGAAAATACCAGAAGCAAATGAAGCTATATTAGGCTCTGTTATTAAGATGCATACAAAAGGGATTAGCTATCATATGCCAAGCAGAGGAATTGAAAATAAAAGAAATTGCCAAATCCCTTGTCATTAATGAAAGACAAGGAGTAGCTGATGTGACTGATTCATGCATCACACAGGACTATCTTAAAGGCATTCTATCATAGTTTAGTCAAAACCATTTTTTTCCTGAGTGGAAAATAGTCCAATAGTGAGTCTTTTGATCAATGGCATTATAGATTTAATGAAATAGGGACAAAATGTATTTTCCAATATTGAAAACTATCAAGAAAACCTATTGACTTCCTGATAAGAAAGGGAAGAAGGAAGCCAGCCAGAAACAAGAGTCTAGAAATAAAGAGCAGTAGCCCATAACTAAGAAAGAAAAGAGAGGTGGGCATGTGGGCATTGGAGTCTCTTGGGTTTATTTTAAAAAGGGCAGGTGGGGAAGGCTTGAGAAGCATTGGTTTAGGATAACCTGCATTCCGTTGGTGGCTCTTCTATTTATATTTTACATATCCCTGGGCAAGTCACTGAATCTTTCTCAGCCTGTTTCTTCCCCTTACAAAATAGATACTGTTGGCTCTTGAACAATACAAGCTTAAACTGCATTGTACCACTTATACATGGATATTTTTCAACAAATTCAGCAGAGTACTATAAATGTATTTTCTTTTCTTATGTTTTGCTTAATAACATAAGCTTACTTTAAGATTACACAGTACATAAAACATATAATACAAAATATGTATTAATTGACTGTTTATGCTATCAATGGGGCTTCCGGTCAGTCAACAGTAAGTTATTAGTTACTAAATTTGGGGGAGTCAAAAGTTGTACGTGGATTTTTAACTGCACAGGGGTTGGATCCCTAACACCCACATTGTTCAAGAGTCAACTATATAATACTACTTCCATCAAAGACTTGTAAGGATCAAAAGGGGAGCACAAGCACATAGTCTATCAGGTATTTTGCTTGTAAATGCTAGTCCCTGTGTTTTCTCAAAATAGGGTGCCATCTCTAAATGAAATCCTTGTTTGGGAGATCTATGTCATTGGTCTATAAAGAACATGAGTTGTTAAAACTCTAACTTTGAAATATCAGGATCTAATAATCAAGAATTGGACAGTGAGTTGATTTGAATAATATCTTAATTTGATATAATGCCTCTTTTATTATATCTTTATATTAAGATATAATATCTTAATTTGATATAATGTGCTTTAATCTCAAATGTTTTCCTGAACATAATTCTTCTCTTGGAAGCTGCCACCAGCTGAGAAATAGTCACTCTCACCTGCTGTTTCCTCTAAAGAAAGGGACTCAGATGCAGCCCAAGGAAAAGACCTCCTCTGTCCAAAGTGATGGAGCGTATTTTTTCATTGATATCTTAATTTTCATCTCTAATAATAACTTAGAAAAGAGTTTGGAAGGCAAAACAAAACCAAGAAAAAGTTTACTTTTATAAATTCAAGAGGGAGAGATTAGTTTCCAGGAAAATTAGAGAACACCCTTGTTCTGCCTGAATCCTTTTAATCTGTTTAATTTCAGCATCACCAGAGATGTTAATCACACAAATGTCAAATGTAAGAACAGATAAAATGTCACAACAATACAATAAATTGGTTACTTTAAAGAACATAAAGTCATTCAGTTTCTAACGGTTTTCTAATTGTCCAGATGAATGACTGAAATCTTCTTTCCAAATTTTTATTGCAGAGGTGTACCTATATAGTATTTTGGGCAGGCATATGAATCTCTCTGGGGACCATAAGAGAGTATTGCTTCCATTCTTCTGGGATTCGTCTTCCTCTTAGGGCTCATTCACCAGGATTATTACAAACAGGACATTGTCATTCAAGGATGAGCTTTTAGGCACTGAACAAAAAATGATAAAAGAGAGAGAGAAAGAGAGATCCTATACTTTGATTTCACTTAGAATCACTGAAACACATTGCTTTAAAGAAACTTTACAAAAGAAAATCAGGGGGAACAAAATGGAAATAAATATAGAGCCAAAAAAGAATAAAGTGCAATTCCTTCCTATATAGTTTTACAGACATATATTGACTACTCGGTCCTCTATGTGCTTTACCAAAAGCTCAGAACCTAGTGGGGGAAGTAGATATGAGAACATGTTATTACCCTCTAACGTTGTCAGTGCAGAAACAGATGTGTGAAGATGGTTATACTCCTCTGTAAACATGCTTCAAGATTGTCTGGCCTACTTCATTCCATATTCTAACTTGGGACCTATATTTTAATTTAAAGGATTGCAAAATTTGCAGGACACTTGCCTCATTCCATCACTTCCTGAATTTCAGTCCACCTCCATATTGTGAGTATTATTGATGTGCAATATCAACAATCCCAGTCCTAGACACTATTTCTTTGCAGTCAAACTAAAGGTTATATTTCTATCCTGTCTCTCTATTTCATGTAGAGGAGGCAAATTATAACAGTTAAGAAGAATACAGACATGGTATGAAATCTAGTTTTCAATACTTAATAGTGCGACCCCCAGGCAAATTATCCCACTTCTCTAAAACTCCATTTTACCCTTTGTAAATGGGGCTAATAATAATACTCATTTTTTAAGTTTATATGTAAGAATTAAATGAGATTGTGAATAAAAATAATTTTTTTCTAGTCTAGTACAAGATAAGTTCTCAACAAAAGTTTGCAATTTACTATTATGTTACTTTTCCCCAGTTAACTAATCCAAAAACAAGCTCATCATATAGGTAAGATCTTGTTCCCCTTCTCAGAGAGTGGCATTACCGTCAGTGTAGTGCAATATTACACACATAATCATACCATTCACTTACTAAGAGCTACAGAGGAAATTAGTTCAATTGAAGATACTTAAACCCATTTAATAAGAATACATGGGTGAAGAGAGTCAAAAGGCACA